CAAATTCGACGTTAGTACAACCTTTGAAAAGCTGAATTTTCACTATCCAACCCACCACAGACGGCTCTATGGGGGAGGGGAGACTTTCGAGCTGAAGCCCCTCTCTCTCTCCCCCCCCCCAAAAAAAATGGTAAAATATAACCATGTTTTAGGAAAAAAATGATCTCTAAAAGTATTATTGTTCATCTAATTACATTTAATAGAACTTTTTTTTCTTCAAGAATCTTTTAAACGCCATTTCATATAGGTAGTTTCTTTCTTACGAAGTAATTATCCTAATCTATACATACAAAAAAATAATCTTTCGGGCTGAAGCCCTCCCCAAAATAAAATCCTGGATCCGGTAGTAGCAACACCCATCTATCACTTTTGGATTTCATTCCTTTTTAAGCTAGCAGTTAAACTTCTCACACATTTTTCCTTTATACATTCGGTTCTAATTTACGGAGGTCGGGTTTGTAACATTCCGTGTTGCTAATACAACCCTAATCATTTTCGTGAAAATCTATGAAGTAGTCCTCTTTTTCACAATTACTGTGGTTGAGGATGAAATTTCAAAGGGTCCTAGTCTAGACAAAAATAAGAAGCAAAAAAATTTCAACATTGTATCTACTTAAAACAAAATTTACATCAACGTAGCTAGGTTTGTCCAATTTTTCCGCACACTAAACCAATCTGTCCAATATAATATTTTTTTCTTCATAGGCCCGGTATCTAGAGCAAAGATTTTTTTAGGAACTCGATTTAATTAATCGATATAAATCAACACTTGGCGATAACCACTACCCTTAGTGCGGAAATATTTCTAGTCACACATTTCCCATGAAAATGATCTGAGGAACGGAAAGACACCTACAATCATAGAAATCGATGATCGTGGCATATTCAGTCGTGATCCTAGGTCGGCAGGTCGTGGGATGTCGGACCGTATCCCTCTATCTATAATATTAGCCACCCCTAAGTACCTGATTTGCCTACACCACTGAAAATGTAAAATTAGAGGATCCAGGTATGTAATATTTTACTAACCAGGGTAAGCGTACCAGTGATGGACATAGCTAAGGATATTTTTGTCTTTTGGTTTATTATTTTCAATTATCAACCATTGTGATCGACCGAAAAATACAAAAACTTAACTCCCTCTCAAAATTTAAGGTTTCACGTTTCAGGATGCGTAGAATTCGAAAAACGAATAAAAAATATTTTGTCCGTCCGCCGTCCGCGCATTTTCTCCAAAACTACTGGACCAATTTTTTGCAAATTTGAATATTAAATCAGAGGTCACCCGAGGATGATCCTCCTTCATCGATATTATTTTCCGCCTTTTACTTCAAAATGGCGGCCGAAAAACCTGCGTTGCTATAGGCTGTAGCTCCTAAACGAATGTACCGATTTCAATGAAACTTCACTAAAGTCATTTTCTCGAAGCCCTTTAAATTAAAAAATCTTGTAAAAAATGTTCAACATGTTCTTAGCAAAACTGTCAGTAAGAAGTTATGAAACTCAAGAGCATTATAGAAACAATAATTATAGGCATTTTAAAATTTTCTTTTAGGAACTTTATTCATACAGTTGTCAATAGAGAGCATTGTTCTTTAATCTAGAAAAAACTGAAACCTTTAATTGAACAAGCAAGCTTATTCTTTACATTTGAAGTTCAACCTGTCCATCACTGGATCTCCTGTCCATAACAGGAGTGTTCACCCTTCCTAAACACTTTTAAAAAACAAAACAAATTATCACTAACGATCCCCTCATCAAGTAATGATTCATACGCAACTCATATAATAAATAAATATTTTTATATATCCGTTTTACAATACAGAAAATTTTCAACTAGATAAGGACATAGCGAATAAAAATTACTAGTTGACCCGTGCGAATAATTCGCAGAAAATTTTGTTTAGCGGAGAAATAGCAAAACGATATGAAAATAAGTAGAGCCTATGTATTATGTAAGGAAGGAATTAATATTTTTTCTTTGGTCGATTACAATATTCCATTTAATATAATATACCAAAATATTTGTACAAATTGTTTTGCTAGGACCTATTTTTAGCGAAGACTGGAAAGATAATAAAAGTAATAAAGATAAAATAATGCCTCGATCATTGGATCGTAGGATTTTCTAAATTATTTAAAAAATATATATATAAGAACAAACAAATGCCTTTAAGAAATAATAAAGTTAATATATCAGCCAGGAAAAAAAAATGTAGTAGACTATTCTACTCCTAAATGCCTAAATCTTTAAAGAGGAAGACATTGTTAAGTATACCAAAACTAATGGACTGTATCTTTGTTAATAATGGTCCGATTTTCATTCTTGTTTTGTAGGTAATTTAGTAATCTTTCTAATTATTATGGGTACAATCAAGAATAAAATGCATACTTTTTGAGTTATTCGTAAATAAAGTTCCTTTTCCTTCATAGTTTTTTTCCAGATATTTCGGGGGTATAGAACTATTTTTCGCTTCTGAAGGAGAAGAATATTTTCAAAATGAGCGGTCAATCATTGGATTTCATGAAGAATTGACGAAGTTACGGCGTACCGACAAAAAAAAAACCTTTTAGAAATAATATATAGAATAACGAAATACAAAGGTGTGTTTAGACATTTCATAAACTATAGAAAACATAAATGTTTTTTTCTATTTGTTAGTGTTATTGTTTCTTGATGCTTTCCATCTTCTGTCAGTAATCAGAGAAATAAAAAAAAATTGGACTTAGCGTTGTACACTATTAGTCAAGTTAGATAATTGTGTTTTACGTAGTTTGTGAAATGTCTAAACGTACCTTAAAACAAACGAGAAAACAGACAACAATGACTAATGATAACTAGTAAAACCCATTACACTCACATTATATATCCTTCTCCATAATAAGTTTATTGTAGTGTATTTAACAACCACAATTGGTGTAGCTTAATACTTTACCACAACTGTTAAAGTAAAAATTTACTTAATAAGTGATCAGCTTGTTCCATTGGAAAATATCCCTCCAGTTTTATAGTTAAGCAATGAGATATAGCTATTGTCAGTATATACTGTAATCCGTTATTTTACTCCCTCAAGACCTGTCTGAGTTATATAAAAGAGCATTGGCTTGGTCTTTTTTTTACTGAGAGTATAGAATCCATACTTGGATATTTTTTAAATTAATTAAAAATATGTTTTATTCTACAATATCCGAAAGGACCAAGGGATCACAGAACCTCCTCCATTTACCTTTTCAATAGATTTTTAGTTCGTCGAAGAGTACCATTAATAGTGATGAACCAACCAAAACAGGACGAATATATCGATGTGGTCGATTAATCGACTAAAGTCTTATAAAGTGTTGAATTGGATCTGTACAATCGATAACTATAAAGTAATCATTGCGCCAATGAGTACTGCTATTTACCTTTAATGAAACTGAGAATCTTAGAGTACTTTATGTGTTGATTCGGGAGATAAGAAATGTTCATTTTTCCTAGACAAAACGTACACGAATATAGAAGGAAATAGATAAATCGATTATATCAGAGTTTGAAACCCATAATTAAAAAAATAAAAATATAAAATCAGTAAATAAAATTACTTTGATGATATAAATACATGGAGAGAATACGAGAATACAAAGATAAATTAATATCAACAATATAAATAAAAATACTAAGAAGGAAATAAAACAAAACTTAAAGATGGAAACATTTTGTCATGAAATCATAAAATATCTTTTTCCGCTAAGTTTTCAGGAGTCTAAGAGTGAGAATACACAATAATTCATCATTTTGTTTTTAATTACTAATACATTAAGTTTAAATAGCAAAATAATTGCAAATTTTATATACTAACTGTTTTTTTTTTTCAGTATGTAATTAAATGTGAAATGTGAATTTCTGATTTAAACGTTGGTCAAGGTATTTATATATTTAGAACAACGATAAACAAAAAAAAGGTAATTATTTAGATGAGTACCGCACCGGTTACGCATGGTTCACAATCACTTCGGTCACACTTGTTCATGAAACGCCGAAAACAGGCTTTCAGATAAACCCGGATGCATTCAGCATTCCATGAACAAGTGTGACCGAAGTGATTGTGAACCATGCGGTCTTCATCTCAATTATTACAAAAATAACTATAAATACAATCGGCTTAAGAGGATTAATTATAAATAATAAATCAAAAGAAACTTACCCAGCCTGTTCGCACTCCTTCTTTTGACCCGGAGACATATCGTTCTTGAACGGATGCACTAGAAATAAAATAAAATAAATTATTTCTAAAATGTATGCACACGTATTTATATATTATTTAACATGCGAATCGTTTATTTATTAAGCTTAATTCAGTAAATAAAATTCATAAATTAGGATTATCATTTTTATTTAATAAGCTAATTCTTATGTTCTCCATGTTCAGAACAGTGAATGATAGGGTAATAATTTTTTCAAAAATAATATTCAAATGAATGTGCAATTGTTTATAAACTGAATATTGAAAAATAACATTCGTATATGATAAATATAAACTTATGCTATTCAAATATTTTTAGGGATAAATTCAGAATGCCTCCCTAACAATCTGTTCTTAAAATATTTTATTACCTAATTTGTTATACCTTTTAAGAAAGATATTTTCCTAGATACTATACAAGAATAGATTGGTTGTGGCTTTTATTGGTCCTATAATTACATCGATAAGGTTCAGTAGGCAATCATAAAAATGGCTAATATGTTTTCGATCATTTTTTTTATCAGTAAAATTATTACTCCAAATTTTATAAATCATTACTCACATTGTTAACATATACGATTTATTGATAATAGCTGATGAAAAAGGCTTCCACATATATTAACAACTTACCTTATAACTTAAAAAGAAACAACCAACTTATTAACAACGGTTTCAAGAACTTCAACAGTTAAAGGAAGGAACGAAGTGAGCGCCCCTGGTGGCGACGTCTGGAGGCTCCTCAATAGCGAAGGCACTGGCAACAGCTGCTCATAGCCATTGGAATGTTCAGTTAGCAATGGAGGGAGTAGCCATTTCGTAGTCAACTCAGACATTTGAAATCATGAACCATACTCATCAGTTCTATTTATAAATATTATACTGTGTTTTGTGACTGCAGTGTTTTTATACTTGTCCAAGTGTTTCCAAACCATCAAAAATCGGTGAAGCTCACCATTGACGGCAGAAAGCAAGTGAGTCAGTGTTGTACATCTTTAAGGCGTGGCCCACTTTGTATAAATAGTCCATACTAGGACTATTTATACAAAGTGCTCTCTCAGTTTAATTGCTATGGCAGCTACACGAAAAAAATTAGTTATTGTTGGAGATGGTGCTTGTGGTAAAACATGTTTGCTCATAGTCTTCAGCAAAGATCAGTTCCCTGAAGTCTATGTACCGACCGTGTTTGAAAACTATGTAGCAGATATTGAAGTTGATAACAAGCAAGTTGAGTTGGCTTTATGGGATACTGCTGGCCAAGAAGATTATGATCGACTGAGGCCACTTTCCTATCCTGATACCGATGTCATCTTAATGAGTTTTTCAATTGACTCTCCTGATTCATTGGAAAACATACCAGAGAAATGGACACCAGAGGTCAAACACTTTTGTCCAAATGTTCCCATAATACTAGTTGGTAATAAAAAGGACTTGAGGAATGACCCTAACACCATTAAGGAACTGGCAAAGATGAAACAAGAGCCAGTTAAACCCGAAGAAGGCCGAGCCATGGCAGACAAAATTAATGCCCACGATTATTTGGAGTGCTCAGCCAAAACTAAAGAAGGGGTCAGACAAGTATTTGAAACTGCCACAAGAGCTGCTCTTATTAATAAAAAGCCTAAGATGCATCGCAAATTATGTAGACTTTTATAGACTTAAAAGCTCAGTGAGCTTTATACTAAAAGTGAAGTATTATTTACAAACAAGAATTAATTGTTCTATGCTGTTGAGTTGTATTTATGTATAAAATTCTTAACATCGAAGTGTTTACATATTAGGATCATTTTAATATGGTTTCTTGCATGCAACTTGATACTTGAAATTTCTTAAATGCTAAAACTAGAAAATTTCACAACCTTTCAGACTTCGCTAGCTTCTGTCTATCTACGCTTTTGATCTGTAGCGCTAAAGAGAACTGTGGGAGACTAAAGTTTTAAAGATCATGCATGAATGTCGTATAACTATCATGTTTGTGATTTATGATAGTTCAATTACACGACAATCTTACCTATATTATAATTTATTAAAAGAGATTTTTTTTTTTTGTATTAAATATTTATTTCAATTACTTTCCAAATTCATGCATAATTGATTTGTTTTTATCAAGACCCAATCTCTAATACTAGTTTATTTTTTTGTCTAAATAAATATGTAACCTTTATAGTAACTTAAAATAAGTTTTTTTAATGTATATTATAAATGAAAAGCGTACATTTAGATTACATTGTAATTTATACGATTTCATCGTATAAGTTGTAATTTAAGTACTTGATCTTCTGAAATTTAATCGCACAAGAACTCTCTCTGTTTACATATTTTTATGTTTATGTATTGATATATATTTTAACTATTGAATAAAATGCAATAAATCTGTTAACTGTCAATTTTTGATTTATCAATACCTCTACTTTCATTAATTTCATATCTGTTGAAACCATTTTGAAACTTTTCAATATTTATCAAGAATGATGTCCGTGTATGTTCAATAGATAATAGAAACTTTTTTTTTATTCTAGACTGTTGACTGTTCCACCTGGATTTTTAATACAGTCAACTAATTAAAAGTCTTAAATAATTAAGATATATATATTCATAGTTGTTAAAGTAGCCTGTATTTTTACATTATTTATTAGCAAATCACTGCTTATCTTATCTTTTATATTTAATTTTAAGCTCGAATCATAACTGAAAGTGAAACTTTTTATTATTAACTAATTCTTGTTTTGAATAATCCAAATTCCTTACTATTACTTGTCATACATTAAGGTTAAGAGTTATTAATGGGTTAAACTCTCGAAATTTTAATTTTTTACAGCTTCCTAAACAAAAATACATTCCATTTTAAGGTATTAGACATTAAATGTCCTACTTATAAAATGACTAATAATTTTGACCTTTCACTTTTCCTTTTTAATATATGTATATATTTTTTAAATGAATACAGATGAAGAAAATAAACTTGTATTTTTCCTACAAGGTTTTCTTGGAATAACAATTCTGTAAAAATAAACAAAACACATATCTGCTCAAAAATTCTAACAATATATATAGTGACTTCAATAACAATATATAATCAAAAATAAATAAACTAAAATTTATATGGGAAAATAAAGATATAGGAAAACCAGAAGAAAAATAATTAAATTAAGAGATATAAATCATTAATTGACAAAACATTGATTTTAGATGTTAAAACATGTGCAGCAGAGGCTACTATTTACACTACTTTTTTTAAAATTCCATTCGTAAAATGTAAGTTTACGGTTGCAGAATATCTGTTTGGGATTGGAAAAGTAGGTACTTGAATGATGAAAGGTAAGAGGCATACCGGATACTAGAAGGCAAAAGAGCTGGCAAAAAAAAACATTAGAAGGTTGTAGTTCTATGGGAGGAGGTATAGAGGTCAGAAACATGGGATCGTTTTCTGTGAGTGGACCAAAGATTTGAAATGTAGTTGTAGGAGGAGGGAAAGAGTAACTTAAAAAAAATCATTAAGAGATCTATCTGTTGTGTTTATCAAATACCTGTTAGTCAGATGTTTTCTTTCTATTATATAAAAAAGTTTTTAATGACCGATATTCAATTTTAAACACAAGATGAAATGCATACAGAGCACTGCTGGTTTACAGATACTGCACCCTATAATCCAGACAAGATTGTTTTTAACTCTTTAAGATGTAAGTTTTCAATTATTCTCTTTAACAATTTGTTTCTTTCATACACGTTTTTAATTTGTAAAAAGGGAGTTTTAGGCTTTCAGGAAGTACCTCCTAGTTACTTAAAAAAATTTCTGTTTTTCATGATTAATGTTAGAGAAATTAAATTTTACCTTTAGAAAAGTCAATTTTTGAAATTTGGAAAAAATATTGTCCTAACATTCTTCATCAATAAATTAATTACAGTTCATCTAAAGTACAAATAAAATTTTATTAAGTGGAATGGAAATTACTAATATTTTACTAAAAGTTTTAATGCGATTTATGGAGTAAACATTTAATTTTTTACCCATTAATATATGTATTTAGTCTTCAGAAATCTGTTTTATAACTCAGGTTTTCATAAGTTCACTAATAAATCGTGATTATGTGTCTTATAATCACATACAAAAGTGTTAAAACATTTATAACATAAAAACAAATAAACTTGAAATTGTTTTATAAGAAGACAATTCAATTGTTGATTATATATCAAAGTTATTTTTTTTATTTTGAGGTAGTATCTTTTGAAGTAAACTAAACAAAGTGAATATCTGTTTTAATGCTGTATGGCTGAAGGATGATTGTTGTTTTAAAAGTCTGATTCATACAACAGTAATCCAACTTATGATTAAAGGAAAAGAATCAAGTGCAGATTTCATACAAATTGCTTTAGAAATTTCTGAATTATTCTTCAAATCGATTTTTACGTGTGGTGATATGTGGATCCTTGGTTGAATTTCAAATAATCTCTTAGTTTTAAACTTCTTTTAAACTAATAGAGCTTTATGAACTATTATTTATTCTAAGTTAGTAGCCTTTCAATTTTATACTGAACTTAGGACAGCCATAACATACATGTTTGGCTTTAGTTTTAGTGAGCCATCAGTAATTCGAATTCAACTGTACTGCCATATACGTTTAATTAACTAAATATATAAGAACTTTAAGGAATTCAGTTTTTACCTCATCTTGAGGACAGCCTATTGATTCTCTTACATTTTAATTGGAAAATAACATTTTGGTATCACTTCCAGTATTAAAAAGTTCTAATGTGTTTACCACCATCTAACAAAAAAATGCTTTATGTAAAAGCAAGCCAAAAAAAAAAGTCATGTTTTAATTCTTAAACCTTCATCGATTTAATTTTTTTAAGGAAAACAATCTATGCCATTTGTGTTAAGAAAGCGATGAATATTTCTGGTTTAATGGAAGAACAACCATTTATAGGTACATTGGGCCACACTCAATATTTCTTTCCACCTGTACACAAAGGCTTCATAGTATGGACAGTTCTGTAGAGGAAAATCAGCTGTAGAGACTATTAAATATTAATTATTTAATGCATGTACTACCACATCAAAGCAATTTAATATATTGGATATTCTAATGTTTAAACTGTAATAATCAATGTCACAAAATTACTAAATAATTAATATTGTTGAATACTTGATATTTTAATTATACCTACATATGTTGATATATTTAAAAAAAAAAAAAATATGCTGTCTGATAATTAGACAAAACCCTGAAACATTACACTTTATGCTGATTGGATTTAATGAAATAGATCAATTGGATGCATTTAGCCAAAATCTCATGGTAAATTAGTTAATAAATCTATGCAGCACACTCAACATCTCTAAAAAAACCAAGACCTACTCCATATCATTTTAACAGAGGTTTACAACAATTAACTAATTCTTCAAGACTTAAATCGATGCTTTAAAGATTGGATTACTATTCTTTATTTATTAACAACCCAGTTATATTTATATGACTCAATTGAACATGTTAAGCTCAATGTCTGCAGAGGATTATTATTTTAATCAACAGTTCAAAATGTTGATTCTGATTTAAATATTTTTGAATACGAAAAATGGAAACGGCTATGGTTAAACAAAACACTAAGACTAATGTGTTATATTCTCTTTAAACAATCGCTATCAAATTCAGGCAACTGAATACTTGTAGGTAGAAACATTAATGCACGTAAACAATAAAAAAACTTCCTCCTTCAATAAATATAAGTAACATTGATTCGATTTAAAAGCCTTAAAATTTTAACTACTTGATAAAATCTCTAATGTTTCATCTTTAAACTATCTCCTCAGAAAGTATAATTTTTTAATTAAGTGTACTGTTCACATGAAAAAGTAAGTGGTTAGATATACACAAAAATTACATCATCAAAAGAACAGTTTCTTATTTTGTTTAAACCAATTTTTAAAAGACTTTTAAGAATATTTTGTGAAATATAATCATAAAGATATGTATGTGAACATACATATATAAAAATCTACTCATATACATTTGTATATATAATTTGTCTTGTAATATTCAATTATGTTAGTAAGCAGTTATTAAAAATTGCTGTGCCTTATATATACTAAGACCTATTTTACAGAACATCTGTAATAATTTTTACCAGAATTATGGACCAAGAGAGCAAAGGTTACTGGCAGGACCATGGACCCCAGTGATAATTTTCCCGAGCCATTGTCCATTATCTAATTTTCTAAAGCCCAGCGATGGCTTTTATAAAGTATGCAAAAAAATTACCAGGTGAAAATATTACATACTTATCATGTAAAACAAGTAGCGTTATAGATATATTATTTTAATGCAATTATATAGGTTAAAAAACCTTGTAGAGTAGGCCTGTCCCCCTTCCCATTGGGCCTTGTTATTGGGTAAGGCGTTGGAGTCCTACCTCCAAGGCCTCAATTCAAGTGTGACTGTGATATTTATACTCGGTTATATCAGCCATGAATCGACACGGGAGTTCAAAAGACCTTTTTGGCAGAACCAGCCTATAAAAATCACTGGTCCTATAGTAAGATCATTCATTCACTGGATTATAACTACAGAACTTATCAATACCATCGATTTCCTTATATCTATTTAAATATTTACACACATATATGAACACGAACACAGATACAGATTTTTTTTTATATTCCTTTACTAAGTTGAGGGAGAAACCTGACAATTAAACAAGGATGCTGAACATATTGTCTCCTTCAAGAGAAGTTTGTTTCAGGATTTAGGAATTAGCAGCATAGAGGAATGATAGCATATTCACAAAGATAATTTTTTTAAATAACTCCTATTCCCAAAAATAATTATTGCTTTTGGGTAAAAACTAAGTTATGGCAATTATAATATTTATATTTCCTAAATTTAGCAGTTTTTTTTTATATTTAAACATTCCTTTGAATCTAAAATTACAATTTCATTGAATTTTGCCACCCCAGGAAAGTATCTTATCTACGTGTAGGTAAATCCTTAATTGAGTACTGAACCTTCGCAGCTAGTGTTTCTTGGAAACAATTTGTTTCCCCCCATTGTTATATACATATTTTTGTACAAACTCCTACCTGGCCATTTGTGGCTATAGATGGCAGAGAGAAAATGAAAGGTTTGTCATGGAGGTATAACCAAACTGAATTTTTAATAGCTCAGCCACGAAATAAATTTCAATCCATCCAGGCCACATTTACAACAGTGTATGCTGTAATCGAGAATGCTGAAGTGTGTGACGCTGTAGTTTCTGAAACACTTTTTATACTTGGCTGTTATAGCCTCATTATATTTAAGTTCTAAATATTATTTTAATTAACCATTATTAAAATATTCAGTAGAGTATATTTATCGTTTAAGTCT